GGGCCCCCTTAAATGGGCCCCCTGAATTCCCCGGGGGGTTTTCCCTTTTGGTATTTTGAAACCTTTTTCCGGGGAAATTCCGGGTTCCCCCTCCCCCCTTTTAAAGGGAGGGGGGGTAAATGTTTTAACCTTTCCGGCTCCCCCTCTTTCGATCCCCCCCCCCCCCCCCCCCCCCCCCTAACCTCCAAGGAGTCTGCTGAACACTGGATAGCTGGAACGCCCTTGAGAAATAATCCTCAAGGCGTCGATAAAGCAATCGCCTATCTTTGTCGGATACGACCGACTGGTCAACATGTATATTTTATTTTTATTTTATTTATTCTTCCCCATCGGCCTGCGTGTTTCTTTCTCTCTTGTTTGTCTCTCAGGCGGGCAGAGGTGCGGAGCGGCGAGAACGATTGGAGAACGCCCCTTCCGTGGCACCGGAACTCCTGCTACCGAGGCGTGTGCTCCAGCGGGGAGAGGTGGACGGCCTACTCGCTCACGTGAGAGACCCGTGCACCAAATCAAACCCATCCGCCACTTCGAGCAGTCCCCAGCCCAACATCAGTAGATGCAACGCCAGTTTTTGTTTGTTGTTGACTTCTTCTTCCAGTTGTGTGGTTGCCCTGATGCGGCGTAAAGGTTATCAAAAGTGACTGGGTAAATGTAAGAGTATTATTTGGTCATTTACTCGGGGCAACGAGTTTGGATTTTACGCCCCCCGTTGTACGCATCTCAAACAGACAAGCATTTTTGTCCATGTTCAGTTGTGAACAGCAGTGGCTGGCATTGTGCCCGCAGCATTGACTCTGAGTTTTACGCCGCCCCTCCCCCCTCCTTTGTGGGTATCTCAAACTCCCTGTTCGTGTCGGATTTGTTTCACTACCAAGTTCTTAGCTTGCGTCTTCGCAGTAACATTCATATTTTTCTCCCCCTACCCCGATCGGTCCTGTGAGAACAACGCTCCCTCCTCTCGCGGACGCGTGCTCAATGGTCTATTTAGCAACTAAGGCATGAAACAATTGAGTACCCCCCCCCGCCCCCTGTCCCCGCCCCCGCATGGTGCTCATTTATCTCAACCAGGCCCACCGGGAAGGCATCTCTTGTGGGCTCTTACCCAACCGAGGTCCAGGCTGCCGTG